AGAATCATTTGAACCCGGGAGGCAGAGGTTGCAGTGAGCCGAGATCGCACCACTGCACTCCAGCCTGGGTGACAGAGTGAGACTCCGTCTCAAAAAAAAAAAAAAAGGAAAAAAGAAAATTGAGGTTTAGGACCCTGGTAGGATTACGGTGTCAGTCACATCATGAGTCAGCAGCACACTACAAATATAGTGATCCATAGCCCTGGGTTTAGGCAACTTATAATTTAAGGACATTTAATGTGAATTGCATTAGATTCTAATTACTTTCTAGAACACCCTATGTGAATTTACCAAAACACTAAATATATGGAGCATGTGAACTTCAGAAGATTTTATATCAATGAAGGCAGGACAGTAGGGCAGAAGACATGGTGGGACATGGCCGTGATCCTCAGTTTCTTCCACTCACTTCATCCTGAAGTCCTCGGCAGCCAGTCTCGCGTTGTCGATCTGCAAGAGGAGCTGGGCATTTCCAATGTTGGCTGCAATGATCTGGCAAAAAAGAGGTACACACATGAGATGAAGCCCTAAAAAACTAGTATTATACAAATATATTTTTGACACAAAGGTAAAAATGGTGACGTTAAATGCTGGTTTTTAGAGTTTAAGACAGTTTCATTTTTCTAAGACAATATCTGTATAAAATAATATTGAGAAGTAAAGAAATACAGATTTCCTACAGAAAGATAATGGAAATACAATCATTTCTTGGTAAATGATGAAATGGAATGAAACAACCTGGGATGAGAAAATTGCTGCAAGTACAGCCAAATTGGAAAATATCAAAGTTGTAGGTGATTATCACTGTAAAACATTGCAATGGTAAAAAGGAAAAAAATTCCCAAAGCCCCTCCAAAAGAAATCATCTTACCTTATTCCTGAGGTCTTCAATCAGTGGATAATATTTGCTGTAATCATTCTGTGAAGCATCTCCAGTCCCAGTTCCTCGTGTTTCATACCATTCTCGAATTTTGTTTTCTAGCTCAGTATTAGCCTCTTCTAGAGCTCGCACCTTATCCAGGTAGGAAGCTAATCTATCATTAAGATTTTGCATAGTTTCCTTTTCTGAGCCAGAAAGAAGGCCTCCATCATTGCCTGAGAGAATACCTAGAGAGCCACCTCCTGGGCTGCCCCCAAATCCCATCCCCAGTCCTCCAAAGCCACTTCCACCCAGGGCTCTCCCATAACCAGCACCCAGTCCTCCTGCCATGGAACTTCCAGAGCCACCCCCAAAGCCAGAACTAGAACCAAACATGGAAGCAGCAGAAAAGCCTCCTCCATAGCTGGGTCCAAAGCCAAAGGCACTTCCCCCATAGCCACTTCCAACACTGGAAGCAGACATGCCCCTGGGTCTGCCTGCTATCACACTCTGGGAGGAGAGCCGCCGGGACAGTCCGGGGGTGCGCACTGAGAGTGACATGGTGTTGTTGGAGAGATCCATAGCCTGGGGAATGGCCACAACTGGAGAGGAAGTTGTGCCAGCAAGCCAGGAAGCTAACCTTTTATAGGTTGTGAGATGGGTGTCACAGTTGAAAAGTTCACTTTCTCCACTCAAAATTGGGTCCTCCCCCCAGGTTTTTGGCCAGCTCAACAAGTGAATGATTTATGTATAATGAAAATTCATTGATACAGAAGTAATTGAATAATCATTTCCATTAAATATTTGTTATATGAAAAAGAAAGCTGGGTGGAGTAGAGTCTACTTGTCATAAGGAATTTTTCTTCTCCAAATTAGTCTGTTGCCTGTATTCCCAGCACTGCCTAGCGTCTTGTACACAGCAGGAAGATAATGAACAATTGCTGAATGGATACGTTAACTACTTCTTCCTAAACCTTATGCTTTTTTAAATTCTTCTCTCATCTTTTCTGTTTGTTTCCTTTGGAGAATCCCGTGTAAACCATTTGTTTCCTTTGGAAAAACCAATCCGATGTAAAATCCGATCATGATCAAGCATACCTTTTAGTAGAATACAGCTTCAGAAGCAGCTGTTAAATGCACTGGCAAAAGGTGGAGAATAAATACATTTTCCAGATTGATATTAGAATTTCCATTTTTGTTGTTGTTGTTGTTTGAGACAGAGTCTCGCTCTGTCACCCAGGCTGGAGTGCAGTGGCGCGATCTTGGCTCACTGCAAGCTCCGCCTCCCGGGTTCACGCCATTCTCCTGCCTCAGCCTCCCGAGTAGCTGGACTACAGGCGGCTGCCCCCACGCCCGGCTCATTTTTTGTATTTTAGTAGAGACGGGGTTTCACCTTGTTAGCCAGGATGGTCTCGATCTCCTGACCTCGTGATCCGCCTGCCTCGGCCTCCTAAAGTGCTGGGATTACAGGCGTGAGCCACCGCACGCGGCCAGAATTTCCATTTTTAAGGATTTTAAAACCTTGGCATTAGGACGTTGCACGTTTCTTTTCCCTCTGATTCTTCAAATCCAAAAAGTACTATTTTTGAGTAGAGTTGTTTGTAGCAGAGTTTATAGTAGAGTTTATTATCGTTGTTTAAGCAGTTTTGCCTTGTCTGATTGCTCACTGCTCTACACTCAGCACTTATTATGTTTATTCCTTCAACAGATATTGCCTGTAATGGTTGCTCAATAAATGTGTTGACTGGTTGAATGGATTGTGTGAACACTTTAGGTTTTATTGCCGTTATCAATAAGGAGAAAGTGGAAACACAGTTTAAATTAAGAAGTGATTAAAACCCCAAGTTTAAGAGGCTAGTGAACCATTTCAGTTGACTGCTATGATGAAAAAGGATAAATTATATAATATAGAATACATTAAATGTTATATTTTAAACTTTGCTGTGAAAACTTTGCAAAGCGTACTTCAAGGAATTGTATCCAGTATTTTAAATTTTTAAGACATAAAGTTCTTGTACTTTCTTGTTTGATGTATTATTTACCTTTGAAGTTGATATGGCTTGTATATTGAACATGAAAACTAACGTTCTTGTAGGAAATGCATTAACTGAAAGAAGCCTGCTTTCAGAGAGAGTTGTAGATCCCTGGAAACCAAGTAGTACAATTCCAGGGTGGTGGAATTCCCTTAGGAATTTAAATTGTGAGCATTTTGATTGGATAAGAAGGAATAAGGATTTTTCTTTTACATGTTTTCTTTGAGATGATGGCCCAAGTCTCTACATGTCTCATTGCAAAATAGTTCTATTTATATAGCCCTTTTTTTAAAAAAAAATATAGCCCTCTATGTATTTATTGCAGGAAATTTAGAAGATGCAGAAAACATAAAGAAGATGTATGTATATATGAGTATTTTATATACATTTTTTAACATAATTGATTCAATATAATATTTTATAATCTGCTTTTCTCTTAAGATTATATAGTTATCTATCACTTGAATTTTAATAATTGGGTACAGAACATGGATTGTGGATTCTTGGAAATTCTTTATTGGATTCAAATTTCCAAAATCAGGTTGCTCTGTATTTGATGATAGGAAATAAAATTTCTGGGTGTAAATAAGTTTTTTTGCAAAGATGTTTATACTGATTTCATTAATAAGGTATGCACTAACTGTGTGTGCTATAGACATATATGTATTTTGACTAGAATGGATTTATTGAAATAAAATACATTAAAATCATTGTAAAGATACAGTTCCTGCCTTGTGAGAAACAGGGCCTTCATTTCTCCATCAGCGACCTCTATTTCCTTATATATGGCCACTAAAACTCCTTTTCAATTTGGTATATTTGGATTCTGTGTTTTATTTTATTCTAAGGAAAAGTTTTAAAAATATACAAGTATTCTAGATTTCTAAAATAAAATTGAATTCTTATTTGATTTAATAATACATAACTTTAATAAAAAGGAATATTTTTATTTTTATTTACTTACCATTACTGGATTAAAAAGATAATTTCAACTCTTATTTTAGATTCAGGAGGTATATGTGCAGGTTTGTTATGTGTGTGTATTTCATGATGCTGCAGTTTGGGGTACAACTCATCTCATCACCCAGGCAGTAAGCATAGTACCCAACAGTTTTTTAACCTTTGCTCCCCACAGTAATTCCCAGTGTCTATTGTTGCCATTCTGTATGTCCATGAGTGCCCGATGTTTAACTCCCCAAAAGGAGGCTTTTAGAAGGCTTTCTATACATTTGTAAGTGGAGATTGAATCTATCTGGTAAAGATTAATTTCTCAGCAAAATTATTGAATACCTGTGAGATCATTGAGATGCTACTTACTTAATACAAACAATTAACCATAATAATTAGCAAATACTTGGCCATTGTTTAGGGTTTTTCCATAAGCGTATGCAGTACTTTTTGTTTCTCTTACTAAAATAATAACCTGATTTTTTTGAACATTTCAATAGCAGAGATAATATGTGAAGTAAGCCTGTAACTATTACACAACTTGAATTATGTCAAAATGATGTGGTCTTTTTGAAAATTAAATCAAGTATTTCAACCAAGCCAACATGAAAGTATTCAAGTACTGGGTCTGCTGTTATCTCCATCTTCAATGTCTGGTCCATTTGCCCAGTGTCTTGGACAAAGTCAGCATTCAATATATGCTTCTTGATTTCTCTCTTGATAAATCAAACTGCTGGGTCGTTAATGTGTGTTATGTATGAGGAAATTTTTCCAAAATTAAAAAGAGTGTATCAATATAAAGGCAAGCTACAAAGTATAATAATTTAAGTATTAGTGGATTCACAATGTAGACACATTCAGATGTTACTCTCATTCTAATGTACACGTGCATGCACACACATATACCCAGAAACATGCACTCAGATGTCTTTGCTTGGTGCCAGTGTGCAGGTGCTCCCTGCAGAGGGATCTTCTGCAGCCCCTGCTGCTCCACCTTCTCTGGGAACCCTTTCTCCTGAGAAAGCTTCTTTCTCTAGCCTTTATCTCATTGGAGTTTGTCTCATAATGGCTAGCACTTGTTTTGCCTTGTAGAGTACAGACTGACTCCTGAGGAATTCCAGACCTGTAGACTAGATTCCCTGTAGTTTACTGCTGCCTCCTGTCCATCTGCATATCCAGATATTATCTCCCGGATTACAGCCTCCCCAAAGCTGAGATTCTTCCATTGTGAAGAGTCCTGAGGCAGAACTAGCAGTGCCCACTAGGGATTAGGGAACAGATGCCAGTTTACTGCTGCCTCCTGTCCACCTGCATATCCAGATATTATCTCCCTGATGACAGCCTCCCTGAAGCTGAGGTTCTTCCTTTGTGAAGAGTCCTGAGCTAGAACTAGCAGTGCCCACTAGGGATTAGGGGACAGATGGGGCCACACCTGAAGCCCCTGGCAAACCTCCATAAGGAATACCCGGGATCAATTCTGGCAAATGGATGGAATATTTTGACTTTTTGTGAAAAAAAAAAAAAAAAAAAAACTCTATCTCAAAAAAAAAAAAAAAAAAAAAAAAAAAGCCACTTTCCCAGGGACACAAATGACGAACCCGTGGTGAAATCCAATTACAACTTCCTTTTATATTATTACATAAGAGACAAATGTGAAGGGACATATTTCTCCCCAACCTAAACTTGTCACAAAGAGCAAGCAAGTGGGATTTCTAAATAAAGGGGGTTTAAGCAAGAGATTTGCAGAAATCACACATTTGCCGTAGACACGGAAAGAATGTCGCAACCTAAGGCAGTCTCAGCTTGAGAGAAGCCATGATCCATTTGTTTGATTTCTTGAGAGAATGAAAATCTGTTCAGTGGAAATGCCAGTGATTTTAGCCCCATATGGAGGTTTTTACCAAGGATTCCTTATATCTATATTATAAGCATTTTGACTGAGCTTGTCTTTGTTTGAATTATCAGTTATTATGTACTTACTACTTTTTGGACACTGGGCCAGGTGAATTACAGACATTATTTTTTAACCTTCATGGTAACCTCTTAAGGTGGTACTGGTTTTATTTGTTTGTTTGTTTGAGACAGGGTCTTCCTTGGTTGCCCTCACTCAGGCTGGAGTGCAGTGGTGTGACCATAGCTCTGAAACCTTGAACTCCTGAGCTTAAGCGATCCTCCTGCCTCAGCCTCCCAAGTAGCTGGGACTAGAGGCATGCAGCACGACACTGGCTATTTTTATTAAAATTTATTTTGAATTTTTTGTAGAGACGGGGTCTTGTTATATTGCCCAAGCTGGTCTTGAACTTTAGGCCTCAAGTGATCCTTCTGCCTTGGCCTCCCAAAGCACTGGGATTACAGCTTGAGATGTAATCCCATTTTACAGATGAGCAGTCTGAGAGTCCAACTGTTAAGTGATTTATTTAAGCCCATGCAGCTGGGAGGTGGCAGAGATAGGATTCGGGCCTGCAGTGCCTTCTATAGATACCACAACCTTGCTGATGGCAGTGACAATCAAAAGGGCAGAGGATACTCTGATATCCCCTAGGTACGACACTTGACACCAGGCTTCTGCCCTGCACATCACCAGGAGGTGCTCTTTTTTTTTCTTTTCTTTTCTTTTAAGCTTTCTCCGTG